TCATATTTTCAGATTTGAAGACATGCAGAAAATTACATTTTCAAAAAACAAACAGAAACTGCAAATCAGGTGAGGAGATAGGAGGCTCAAGAGGTATGATATGGCTCACAACAGACTAGTAAATGAGAAGTGGGATAATTAATTAATGTTTTTTTTCCTTTTTGGTGTTACAAGTCACAAAGCTTCAAAATGTATTGCTAAAAGTCAACTCAAAAGCCCTATTTATTATTAAACCATTTATAAATCTATTATAAAAATAGATTACCTTATGAAAGTTGTGGTATTTTAGCGGCGTGAATTAGAACATTATTTTTTATATTTGGGGGTTGGGGGGGGGGGGGGGGGTCTTTGGGGCTAAGCCCCTTATCCCTTTCGACCCTAGCAACGCCCCTGAGACAGCAACACTTTTGCACAATCGATACTGATTCAGTCGTTTCATAAGAGGACCACGCTTCTTCTCTTCTTTTTTCCTTGTCAACATAAAGGCAGTGAGATGCGCCTTGTTTTCGCCTTATAAAGCATGTATGCACATTAATGCAATAGCATATTTAAACAACAAAACTGTTTACAAAAAGTCTACATATGCGCACGTTGTTGTTGTTGTCTTTTCATCACGCAGCGCGCACTTGAACCGCGAGGGAGAGAGAGGAAACCATCAGGACATATTCTTTAAAATAATGATTTCTATTAAAAATGTAAAAGGTTTTGGTATTATAATAATAACAGCGGGGCATTAAATAAATGCATATTTTCCGTGGAGCAAGCAATTTGAGGAAGTCTGAGATATTTATTTGACGGAAGAAAAAACATGATTGGAAAAAAAACAGCCTATGCCGGTTATTAAAAAGAATCAGTCAGTTTTTTCTTTTTGTAATATAAATTAATTATTTAAGTGAAAATAATTTAGGGCAGTCCTATTTATTTTATTCATTTTATTTAGATTATTCTGCTCATCTGTGCTAAACACAGGTGCTTGAAGATGCTCTGTTGTTCTGTTATTATTATTCTGACATTTAAAAATGAATCAGTAGCCTATTTTAAAATGCAATATTTAATGTGTCAGACACAAAATAGACACGTCAATTTGTTTAATATAAAATCAATAGTAATCTGACCAGTTAACCGTTAATAACCGATTAATGAGCGGCGGTTGTTGGTTAGCAAAATTAACCGAAATGAGCATCCCTAGTAGCCATTTAATTGACTTTTTCTATGTAAGAGAACTTGATTGAAAAAGAATCTTCAACATGCTTGAACCATCTACACAATGGAGTTTAGCTCTGTTTGGTTTTTCAACAGTATTTTGTTACAAAGAAAACAAAAGTGATATAGCTTTTGCTATTTATTTATTTTATATATGACTATTTATATTGTTAATAATTTGCATAGTTAATATTGTTCTTTGATGTTTAGTTTATAAAGATTTTTCAAATGTTATTTAATAAAAAATTGTTTTAAAAATCTTTAAGAATCTTAAGAATTTTTTTCCCACCCCACACGAAAAAAAAATCGTGATACGAACCGAATCGTGGGTCAAAAATCGTGATATGAACCGAATCGTGGGTTTGGTGTATCGTTACAGCCTTAATAAATTAGCAAGTAAATAATTTATTAAGTAGTTTAAACAAATATGCACTTTTTTCCTTCAACCTTCAGTAACAACTTTACATTTTTATTTATTTGTTTTTTGTTTACCATGATTGGCTGAGTAGAATAAGTAGGCTAAATAATCAGTCCTGTGATTCTTATCCAATCAAATTGCAGATAAAAAAGTAGTTATTTCAAGACTCTTTCCAACATTGGATACCATAGTTAGGTTATTTTCAATGGCAATTTCAAAGTACAAAGAAAATTTCAATAACCTTGAAGAACCTTTTCCCCTTACAGAGAATGTGGAACATTAAAGGTGCTTTATAATAAAGGAGTTTTATTTTTAAAAGTGTGCACTTACGATAAAAGAATGATAGTGTGCATATTGTGCATATTGTGTATATAGTTAAAGGTGCAGTAGGTGATTGTCTTCATAAACATTTTTTGTAATGCTGGTTGAAAGTCTCTTCACATTCCAATAGTAATGATTAAAGTAAATGATCTAAATGTGTTTATATGTATTTTTATATTCTGGGTAAGGCATAAAACTAAAAAATGTTCATCCAATTAAATATTGTCAGGCTGACATCTGCCATAATTCCGATAAGTAGCCCAAACTGTCTGTCATCCAATGTAAATGTGCACTTCTGCGCATCTCTGTTCATGCATATCTGCCTTTTGCGCGTGCATAAGCATCACGCGTTCATGACACGTAAACACGAGACAGTCAGTCATGGTAAAATCCAAAACTGAATTGAAACTTTTGAATATCCTGAATCAATAATGGAAATAGTTTTGCATGCTGGAAGGATGACACCATGGCTAAAGTATTTCTGTTAGACAGGTAATATTATGTGTTAAAACTATTTTAGTCATGCAAAGCTGATGTAGATTGTGTTGTTATTAATGGGTTACATGCAAAGAAGTGTTGTTCAGCCACTGAAATCTCCCAGTGAAAGACTGATGTGATTATTTTCCGTTTTATAAGGGTACTTTGACAGCATCGATAATGTAGATTTTATTTAGTTTAACAACAAAACATCAGTAAACAGCGCTATTCCGCGTAGCCTGCTTTTTTGAGCTGAAGTTGGTTTTATAATTACATTAGATCATTTTTGAACAAAGACAACAATGATGACGTGCTCCCTATAGTGTTTACCATGCTACTCTGAATATTCGCTCTGAAACAGCATGTGAATGTGGCTTAGTAATAAGTAAAATTCATGCACGCTGCCACTTAACCACTAAGTACATTTCTAACTGGCGAATGACATGAACAAGTGGGTTGTCTGCTGTCATGTTTTGATGCACGAGCTCGCAATTTCAGGAGGCGTGGCTTTGAAATACAGTCCCTCCCGTGCCGTCCAAAGATAATATACCAACTGATTAGCATTTTGGCAGATCACCAACTGCACCTTTTACATTACTGGTTTGATCAGCTCTTAAAAGCATAGCTCACCAAGAAATGAAAAATCCCTCACAATTTGCTCAAACTCAAGTTATAAACTTTTGTAAACACAAAATTATATATTTTAATTGTTTTGGAAACCAGTGTTGGGTGCATCTCTCTGAAATTATTTCTCTGTATAGTATACAGAGAAATATCGCAGATTAATATATCATTTGAATAAAGCACATTTGCTCCAGTTGAACTGGAATCATGATGGAATAGCCTGTGGATTCCAATTAACAAAGCACCAATGGCTGAAGTGATAAAAGGCACATTCGAAATGTGTAGAGTGATGGGATTCAAGGACCATTATTGAGTAACGCTGGGTACAGTAAGAGGCATATCCCATAAAAAGGGTATTTTTGATTAGACAGAACACTACAATCACTAAAAGATCTCCTGCTTCCCTCATTCTTCTCTGAAGTGATCGTATGCATCACGACTGTATCTTGATGAACACCTCTGTGATTGTACCAGAGCTGATATTATTCTTTTAAAATGAGATGGTTGCACTGTATTTATCACTGCCACTATTCGCAAAGATTAAAACTATAAGCCTTGTCAGGAGCAATATTTTTATCTACCTATTTTTTTGGTTAGTTTTATCCTTGCGCAGATAACAGGTACTGTGATATGTTGTTCAAATAGCAAATGTCAGGCAGTGACAGGCAGCCCTAAAATGCTCATATGCATTGCTTATTACACACACAGGGATGCACAGCAGCATGAAAAATGTAAAAAAAATAAAATGTTAAACATTACTAGTGTCTACATAAATCTATCATCTATCTATCTATCTATACATTAAAAAACTCCAGTCTGTTCATTTACTTATTCATCCATTCAATTATCCACTGTTGAACTGTTGATTCATCTATGCTTTATCCATCCATTTTTGCAATCTGTCCATTCAGCAATCTGTCCAACTATCCATCCATCAGTCAATCAGTACTCTCCTATCCATCATACAAAACATCCATACATAAACATGTTCATCTATCCATCCAAACATCCATCCATCCATCCATCCATCCATCCACTCACACCAATGTCAATCTATCTATCCAATAATTATTCAATTCAACATTTGTCAATCTATCCACACTGTAAAACCCAATAAGTTAAGGTAACTAGAACCATTTGAGAAAACCAATTGCAACAAACTATCTAAGTTCAAAGATTAATCCTAATGAGTACTGTGAACTTAATCCATTTGAGTAAACGAAGCAATTTGAGCAAAGTAAAACCCAATAAATGAAGAGAACTTAAGCCGACTGAGTACTGTAAACGCAATAAGTTAAGGCAACTCAAAACCGTTTGAGGAAATCGAAACCGCTACAAACCATTTGAGTTAAAAAATCTATCCATCTATCCATCCATTTATCTATTTATCAATCTACCATTCCAAATATCAATCTTTTATCAGCACAATGTAATGCTAAACCTGTATGCAATCTAACAGTATAAAAAAATCATAAAACTTAACAACTTTGAGGTTTTTTCCTTCTTCCTATTTCTTAACTTTCTGTTATTGCTTTTTTAAATATCTAGGTCTGCACATGTCTTTAAAATGAAAAAAAGGAATGAAACAAACTTTCAGGAGCACAGTTATGTAAATCACAAATGCTTCAGTCATTGAAACAAGGAACAGAAGCCTCTTGAAAAGCCCTGCGTTTATGTAAGTGACAAAAAGATAATGTGATATTTTAAATCATTTGCTGGTTTGTTGACATTACTTTGCACAGCGCTTTCCATAATTCCTACTGGAATGAACAAATAGACTTTTTTCATTTCGCTCATTTATAGCTCCTGAGGGCTTTGTGGACATGGAGTAGGATGCATTTCTATAACAAAACAGGTAAATTAAATAATGTGTGTGAAAATGTGTGGGAAAAAAAAACATAAAAAATAATACAAGTTTTAAATTAATAAATGCCCATGCACCAAGAAAACAGGAACATAGAAAACAAACCATTACTTTATTAAAGACAGAAAATAATATTTAGCTTAAATGACATAACAACAGACCACACAACATATACTTCATTTCATATCTGTATCTTACATTGTCCCAATCCTCGCCTCTGCAAATACACTCCACAAACTGTTAAAGGCAAAAGATGACATCACTGAGACTGTTAATGAAAACAAAGAGCAAGCAAAACGTGTGTTATGCACGTGTTAAAGTGTTTTTAATGCTCTGTGCACAGTATCTACTCTCATCTGTCTGCTGTGTGTCTGTCAAGTCCAAAGCCAATAAACAACTTGCATAAAATATTCAGCAACTGTTTTTCTTACCAATACTGCACACTTATTATTAATATACATATGTGCACGTCAAATGAATACTAATTAGATTTTTTAGATTAGTTTTGAGGATGCTAGATACATATTTTATTAGAATGTGAGTGTAAGTACTAGGCAATTTTTTTAAAATAAAAACACTTTGATGAATGTTTTTTAAAAGGTATCACCAGGACAAATTTTAAGTTATTTATTTTTTTTGTTATCAAATATCGAATTAATAAATCATAATAAACTTTTAATATACAGTCTTTGTAAATTTTATTTATTTATTTCTATTTATAACTGTTTGTGTAACATTTCTTATTGACATACAGTAGGAAGTTGTTCTTATCATGTAACGCTTTTATGCATATTTAACTTGCCATGAAATAGCCGTAAGTTGCTGATAATAATAAATGGCAATAAATAAATAAATAAATAAAGGATGTTAGATGGTTTTATTGCATAAATCTAAATGCTGGTTTTCATCACTTAGTTTTAAGTGTCAAACATTCATATTTTGAGCCTTATATTTACATTTAAACTGGTAGGCTACAAGCAAGTGAAGTCAGAATAACAAAATTAAATCAACTTAAATGAACAAATCTGATTTTATATCATGGAAAGCATGTTAAAAAATAAACTGCCTACTTTATTATTTCAAATGACGTTTGTGAAATTCAGCTTAACACTTATAATTAAGCAAAAGCTAAACATTTATTTTGACTTCATTCATTCATTCATTCATTCATTCATTCATTCATTCATTCATTCATTAATTAATTCATTCATTCATTCATTCATTTTCTTTTCAACTTAGTCCCTGTATTAATCAGGGGTTGCCAAGCGGAATGAACCTTATCCAGCATATATTTTACGCATAGCATGCCCTTCTAGGCACTACCCAACACTGGGAAACACCCATACACTCTTGCATTCACACACATATACTATGGCCAAATAACTTATTCAATTTACCTATAACACATGTCTTTGTACAATGGGGGAAACTGGAGTACCTGGAGGAAACCAGCGATCTTCTTACTGTGAGGCGATCGTGCTACCCACTGTGCCACCGTGAACACCCCCCCCCCCCCCCCACCCACCGCCCACCCCCCATTCTTACTTCAAATTATTAAAAGCAATAAAAGATAATGTGATCATACTAATATAGTATAATTTATATTTATAATGATTTAACAGTTATCACTGACAACTGAGTAAAACTTAGTAGCGCAGCCCTTATATGCTCTCTCTCTGAGCCAAATAACGAGAAATTAACAAATTAGCAAATTTCCTACCACAGCTATGCTGATGACACTCTATATAGCCTTACTGCATAATGACTTCAGCCTCATTGACAACCTCTGCCAATGCATTAATGAAATTAACAGTTGGATGTGCCAAAACATTTTTTCATTTTAACAAAGAGAAAACTTAATTTGCATTTGGGAACAGAGACGAGGTTCTCAAGGTGAATGCGTACCTTGGCTCTAAGGGTCAAACAACCAAAAATAATGTTGGTGTGATTCTGGAGTCAGATCTGAATTTCAGTTTATTTCAAAGCACTAACTAAATCAGCATACAATCATCTTAAAAACATTGCAAGAATTAGATGCTTTGTTCTCAGTGCGGACTTAAAGGTGCAGTAGGTGATCTGCCAAAATGCTAAGCGCTTTGCATATTATCTTAGGACGGAGGGGAGTGACTGTGATTCAAAGCCACGCCTTCTAAAATAGCGAGCGCGCGCACCGCGTAACAACATGTCATTCGATAGTTAGTTAGTGTTTGGCTGGCGGTATGCAGGAATTACATGTATTGCTAAGCCACACCTACATGCTATTTCAGAGAGAACATTCAGAGTAGTATAATAAACAGTATAGGAAGGCTGTCATTGTTAAAAAATGAACCAATGTGAATTTAAAGGCAACTTCAGCACAATAAAGCAGGTGAAGCGGAATAGCCATATTTACTGATGTTTTGTTGTTAAACTAAGTTAAAATCGACTGTTGATGCAGTCAAAGGTCCCTTATAAACTGAAAATAGTCACATAAATCTTTCACCTTGAGATTTCCGTGGCTGAACAACATGTCTATGCATATAAGCCATTTATAACACAACACAATCTAACATAAGCCAGATGTTCTGTTTAAAAACAAAACATTACCTTTCAAAAAGTAATAGTTTGGTGATGGTGTTGTCCTTTCTCCAGCATGCAAAAGTATATTTAATATTGATTCAGGATTTTCAAAAGTTTCAATTCAGCATTTCATTTCACCTTGATTGTCTCGTGAACGCACGGCGCTCATGCAGGCGGGCACGAATGAATGGCGGATCTGCATGAAGTCTGAATCTACATTTGCTGACAGACAGTTCGGACTACTTATCAGAATTATGGGAGATGACGGCATGACAATATTTAATTGGATTAACATTTTTTAGTTTTAAGCCCTAGCCAGAATATACAAATACATATAAACACATTTAGATCATTTACTTTAATCATTACTATTGGACTGTGAAGAGACCTTTAAGCAGCACAACAAAAAATGTTTCTGAAGGCAATCACCTACTGCACCTTTAAAGAAACTTGTTTATGCTTTTATCATTGGATTACTGTAATGTACTACTCACTGGCCTTCCTAAAAATACAGTCAGACAGTTGCAGCTCATCCAGAATACTACTGCCAGAATTCTGATCAGAACTAGAAAATCAGAGCACATCGCACCTGTCCTCAGGTCTTTACACTGGCTCTCAGTTACATTCAGAATAGATTTTTTTTGATATTACTACTTGTCTATAAATCACTAAATTGCCTAGGATCTCATAATATTACAGATATGTTCACTGAATACAAAGCTAACAGATCCCTCATATCTTTAGAATCAAATAAATCAGAAATTTTAATGGTTCATTCAAAGTGGGGTGAATTGGCCTTCAGCTACTACGGCCCACACTGCTAGAATCAGCTTCCAGAAATTATCAGATGTGCTCCAACATAAGGCACATTAAAATCAAGACTGAAAACACATCTTTTTAGCATCGCTTTTCTGCATCCGACAGAAATCATGTGTTTTATTTTCTTTTTCATTCTTTTATGACCCGTTTAAACACATTTTAATCTGTTTTAATCATTTTTAATTCTTTTAATCATTTCTATATTGTTTTTTTTATTTGTGTTAATGTAAAGCACTTTGAATTACTATTGTGAATGAAATGTGCTATATAAATACACTTAAGCCTTGTTTTGCCTAGTTTAGGGGAAGGTAAAGTATAAAGGTATGACGACAACTAATTATGAATCTAAAACTAAAATTATTAATATTAAGTTGCATTGCAACCCTTAAATAGTAATGTATAATGTTATTAAAGGATTAAATTACAAACTTCAATGCATTTGCTGTGAGTAATAAAAAAAAAAAGTGTTGTAGCCATAAAATTTAGCTTGAACAAAAAAAAAAGTTTACAGTTTTTCATCTCTAATATGTGTGAGTAGCTTTAACATGACCTTCATAGTTCCTTTTCATAGTTAAGGACAATTCTGCTTTTGTCTGAGAAAGGTCAAAGAAAATATCTCCCAGTGAATGGACAGCTGACACCCAGTGATTGGTTGCGTTTTGAAACTCACGTCAACTCTTCCTGTCATTGTGAGTGGCTGACCGTTATCAGGAAGAGGCAAACTGTGACTATTGTGGTATCAGCCAATCAGAAAGCAGAATCAAATTGGTGGCCTTTTCGGTTTAAGAAAGCTTATCATGTGGTAGCTTGAAGATACACTGATAAGTGACAACAATGACTTTTCAGTTTAATAATGATAACCTCAATTTGGACGGGTGTTAACAAGTCACAACAAAGGAGTTTCTATGATATAAATGATTATATTTTACAACTAAATACACACAAAAAAAACTTAAAAGATTTACCAAAATGCATGATATTGTTTTCAGAATATAATATTTTCATAGCCACTTATAAATTATTAAAATGTTGTCTGATTAAAACTAAACTACATGTACAACAAAATTCATATGATGACATCGGGATATCAGTGAAACCACAAAACTTCATAGCAGTTTTTTTTTTAATCATTTAAAACATTATTTTTAGTTTCATTTGGTTATTTAGTTACAATAAATGTGACTTACTTGCGTTCAAAAATTTATTAAGGTAAATAAATAAATTTCTCAATTTTTACTCACACAAGAAATATTTAAATTGCACATTTCTAAAATATTTAATTCAATATAATCTGTGCTATTCATTTATTTATCTGAAAACTAAATGTTATTATCCATACTAAAAGGGTTTATTCTAAATAAATATTAAATAAAATGTTCAAATTATATGGGATAAGTGATCCTGGACCACAAAACAGATTTAGTCATAAAACAGATTTTTCATATCATAGATTTTTTTTTTAGATTTAAAATTCAGTTGAATTCAGAATTATTAGCCCCCTTTGAATTTGTATTATATATATATATATATATATATATATATATTTTAATATATATATATATCTATCTATAATATATTAGGGATGTGCGGAGCAGCCGGTATTTGTATTTGTATTTGTATTTGTTGAGGGGGAAAAGTATTTGTATTTGTATTTGTATTCGAGTAAAATTCAAAATGGCGCAGAAATATATTTTTTTTCTATTACACTTCTAATTTACGTTATAGTGAAAGTATTGTTTAATTATACCCATTATATAAATTATAGATATGCAATATTGGCTGTTGTTTTTGAACATGTGATAAGAAATGTCATTGAAAAGAAAATAACATAGAAGCCATTATCTCATCCATGGTTAAACCAACAACTAATAAAATACCATTGTGAATATTATGAATCCCACCACCACCGTTCTTGTTTAAGGACACTGAATAGACAGAATAAAAACAAATAATACTTCAAAAAACTGTTCTTCTTCTGAAAGAACTTTTTTCCAATGGACAGAATTCCAAAAATAAGCTAAATAAATCTAAATAAAACCCTGCTTGGGAGATCTGGCAGAACAAAAGTATTCTATGTAATACTAAAAGATGCAGCCCTGCTATTATCATCTGCCAGCCACAAAAAAGACACAAAGTTTGTTTGTTTGTTTATTTAGAGATATCTGCAAATATTTTTCAATGGAAGTCAATGGAGGAATATGACTAGTCAGTCATAATATATTTGCAGATATTTCCAATCTGAATTATAATTATGACAAGTCAAAATATAATTAGAGATATCTCTAAATATATTTATGGATAGTCTGAACAAGGTTTAAATGCTAAAACGGCTTGCCATACGCACAGTGGCACAGTGGAGATTTCTCTAGTAATATCGTTTCAGTCGTTTGTTATGCAGTGACATGCAGTCAAATATTTCGCCAAACAGTCCTTAGGGATGCGGTGACACGCAGTCAGATATTTTACCGGACAGATCCGCCACTTTTGGCGCGCATAAACAATCATAAAGCTCTCGTGCTGCAGGAATGAGGAGGTCTGCTGAAGGCGCACAGCTGACGTGCAGTGAGAGGTTTGCGTCTTTAATAAACTACGGCAGTTTGCGATCACTGAACAGTAAGAATGATTAATAAATCCATATGAAACAGTCCCTTAAAAGCCACGTCTCGCTTTCAGTTTCGGGCTTTGGCGCGTTTTGCACTGACCGTGTGTCTTTCTCTCTCTCTCTCTCTCGCTCTCTCTCTCTCTCTCTCTCTCTCTCACTCACTCACTCACGCGGGCATGCAATGTGGTCTCATGAGGAAACGCTGCTTTTTGATATAGTGTTTTTCTTGCTCCCGAATACAAATAATTTTTCAAGTATTTGTTCGAATCAAGTATTCGTAAAAACACGCTATTCGTGCCTTTCCGAATACCGTATTCGGGTTCGGCTCCACCCTTAATATATATATATATATATAAAATACAAATTCAAAGAGGGCTAATAATTTCCCAAATGATGTTTAACGGAGAAAGGACGTTTTCACATTATGTCTAATAATATTTTTTCTTTGGGAGAAAGTCTTATTTATTTTACTTCGGCTAAAACCAAAGCAGTTTTTAATTTTTTAAACCATTTTAAGGTCAAAATTATTAGCCTTTTTAAGCAATATTTTTTTTTTGATAGTCTACAGAACAAACCATTATTATAAAATAACTTGCCTAATTACCCTAACCTTCCTAGATAACCTAATTAACCTAGTTAAGCCATTAAATGTCACTTTAAGCTGTATAGAAGTGTCTTGAAAAATATCTAGTAAAATATTATGTACTGTAATCATGGCAAAGATAAAATAAGTCAGTGATTAGAGATAAGTTATTAAAACTATTATGTTTAGAGATGTGCTGAAAAAATCTTCTCTAATTTCTAAACAGAAATTGTGGGAAAAAAATAAACAGGGAGGCTAATAATTCAGGGGGGCTAATAATTCTGTTCTTCAACTGTAAGCTTTCCTTTAATGTATAGATTGTTAGTGTAGGCCAATATTTAGACTTGGAGTATAGGACAATATTTGAAAATACAACTATTTAAAATCTTTAAAATCCAAGGATGCAAAATTCGAATTACTAAGAAAACTGTACGTCTATGTTTGTTTAACTTAAATTCTTAGCGATGTATATTACTAATTAAAATGTTGGTATTTTTACAGTAGGGAATTTACAAAATATCTTGATGGACCATGATATTTTAATAATTTTGCATTTAAAAATCTAATTTAAACTGATTTTTGCTATTGCAACAGAGGACTAGTTTTGTGGGACAAAATCACATACAGTATGAATAGCCAAAGCATGCTGTTTCATTAATTACATTTACCATCACAAAAAAAAAGTTTCCAAAGGTGCCCAAAATTGAAGAAACACCCAGAAAAATACATTTCAACACATACACAAACACACACATACCATAAACACCAGTGTGCATCTCACCTCAGCAGGCCTTTCATTGACTCTCAGCGGGCTGTGCAGAAGTCGGCATCCATCCTTGGCCAGTCTCTGGACCATCTCCAAACGGCTGATCTCCTCTCGGTCTCGTGTCCCCGCTCCAGGGACCTGCTGCAGTGCAGGAGACACAGAAAACACAAATCTCAGGCCACAATCCCACGCCATCAGTTTGACAGCCCGTGTCTTCGCTCAGGTGAGACTGAAAGCCCCTGACTGTGAGACGGTCACGGTAGTCCTGAGGAAAGCTTTAAAAAGTGAAGACTCAGAGACAGTGTTGCCTGAGGGAGAAAGAGTGAACATGACTTTTCTCTCTCTCTCTCTATCTATCTCTCTCTCTCTCTCTCCCCCTCTCTGTTATGCACATATAGTCAGGGTGGGGGCGAGCAGGAAACATCTGGCAGTCCCTCCAATCCTGAATAGGAAGTATCGCAATCTCCTGAAAATGGGAGAAACTAAGGTCGGCATGGGGTCTGGGAGGGCAGGTTATACTGATGGGTTTACTAAGCATGTGCACTAATATTATAAAATTATGATAGAGACATGATCACATGAAAATTGCAATTTTCCAAGACAAGAGTGATAAATTCAGAATTTCGAATAACTTTTTGGTAAATAAGCATTGCTTCTTCACTTTTTGAATGTTAGTCTATTTTCCATCAAAAGGCACAAGTTCAATTCATGCGTAAAAGTGGAATATTGCTTAAAACATTTGCAATCAAAGCACCATTTCTATCAACAGAGCATAGTGAACAAAATGTCGTTTCCTATGTGTATATATATATATATATATATATATATATATATATATATATATATATATATATATATATATATATATATATATATATATATATATTTATGTATATAGTTATATATTTCTATGTGTATATATACTCACACTCACACACACACACACAGACACACACACACGGTGCAAGTTTAGAAGGAAATGACGTTTTATGCTCTCTTGATATATATATTTATATATATACAGTATATATATATATATATATATATATATATATATATATATATATATATATATATATTTATATATATCAAGAGAACATAAAACATAATTTTTTATAATATGTTACTTGTGAAGATGACGATACACTGCAATGAGTGAAGCTCAACTCTGGGAGTTAATAATACTGAGCCACTTTGATGACAGACTTTATAAGGCATTTTAGAATCACCAAAACAATATTTAAAATATTTTACAATGAGGTCAGTCCACTGCTGTGTAAATTAATGCTGCCCCATCAAACCTATTTTGCAATTACATGATATGTCAAACAAAAATCACATGACTTTTTGATGTGCATGTTGGAATTTATTTGTTAAATGCGTTTCCATCATATATTTCATTAATTTTTCTTCGGGTTAGTCCCTTTATTCATCAAGGGTCCCCACAGCGAAATGAATCGACAACTTATCCATCATATATTTTACACAGCGTAAGCCCTTCCAGCCATAACCTATTACTGAGGGAACACCCATACATTCTTACATTTACACACATACACTACAGCCAATTGTAAAAAAAATCTCCACAACAAAAGGAATTTAGTCATAATTTGCTTTTGAAAATCTTTCAACAATGACAACAAATAGCTTATTTTGACTACAAGCATTGTTTTCCTGGGCTTATGATGTCACAAACTAGCAAAAAAGCCTCTTTGGAAATTTAAATGGTTGGGGTCAAATAATCGTTGGTTTAAATTAATCATATTGTGAAACATGTTTTGGTTCTCAACATAAAGATGTATATTTCGTTCTTGATCTATGGTGGGTGATGACATTTTAATTTGCACTGCAGTGAAGAGATTAGAGCAGCTGCAATTACAGCATGTAAAGTCATCAAGTACTCACAAAATACATGAAAGCAAGTTTAACTGGGAGAAGATTAAAGTAAATATTCTAGTTACCGAAACAGTATGTATGGGATGTGATTAGCACACATCGTCAGATTATGTGAAAATGATTATCATCATCAAGCAGTTTGCCAATCCCAGTAGTAATAGTTTATATACCAAAAAATATGTTGCCATATTGTGAACAAGAATCGCTTGAAGACAAATTACAAGACTCTACGAATCACAGTACAGCCTAAAAAAAAAATGTCATTATAAGTGCCCTATCATACACCCGGCCAATACACCATACAGTATGGCCAATTTTGTTGCAAACTCTGACAATTTGCATTTGTATAATGTTATTAGTAGTAGTGGTATTATTTATTATATGCATATTTATATTTGTTTTAATAAAAATAACTTTAGATTTGTCTAACTGTCGGGTTTTAGACACTCATGCATCACCATATGAGGCATAACAACAGGACGTGTGTTTGGATATAACTTTTTTACCACATTTTATTATTATTATTATTGTTGTTAATTTATTTGTTTGCTGGAAATAAGAACTAAAACTAGAACTAAACTAGTTTTGAAGCAAATCTTTGCACTTAACAAACAAAATTAAATATGTAGGCATTGGAGTGAGTTTCCACTATTTTCTTATTCCACGAATGTAAAGGAGTAAAGAGTAAAAGTAAAGTGAAAGTAAAGAGACCTAATGGAGGAGACTTATTCTTCATCCTGGCGCTGCAGATGGTCTGTTTAACCGTTTTCTCGCTAGTGACGCATTCAGTTTTTCAACTTAAAAAATCTGCCATGTAAATATAAAAAGTGCCATGGAGCAATGCATCTGACTCCAAAAGGACATGAGAGGTGAGAATCTGATTGGTTTAATGCACATTTCCATCTATATAATAGCAAAAGTGGACTTTGACATGCCCTGCCATTAGACTTTGTGCTTAGATCATTAAAATAGAGCCTTAAACCCTTATACTTTACAAGTATCGTTCAGACCAATAAGTTATATTTTTTCAGACATTTAAAAAAACTGATCCAATTTCCTGCATGTTGTTTGAATCTTGTTTCTTGTTTTTTTTTTTTTTTTGTATTTTTGCTCCACATGACATGTTTAATAAAAAAAATCTGTTCCTCATTTTACTAATTTATCTAATTTTACTCTTTTTGAATTTTTAGCATTTTAGCATTGATATAAAGGCCATTTCTTATATCACATAAAACACTGTGGCACATTATACATCTTATAAGAATATTCACCAAAGCTAACTAAAGCTATCATTATAAGCTTAAAGCAAGTAATCGAGGATGTATACCCATTAGATTTCCTGCTCCATTTAAACACAATAGCAAAGAAGAGAAAACTGTGACCTCATTTTCTGAAGTAAGGGAAGGAGAGAGGAATTTGTCCTGAACACACTCAAGTATTTCCATATCAGCTCAGCAGGCTATATAAGGTATCAAACCCCATGCTAGACAAATCCAACACAAGCAGAGTCCCTGACATTCTTCAGTCCTTCAGTGTGCAGATGAATATAGAAAACAATAGACGGCTAGATGGAACGATTCTAATACCATAAACCTGATAGGAAGGAATTACCAGAGAAGAGTCTGGTGATAAGATATTGAGATAGCATTTACATGTATATCAAAACTAATGTCTATTGTGCTCTCAAAAATGATAATGGAGCAGTTTCTTATTTCAGAGAAACAATGATGAAGGAATCACTTCAAATCCGTCATACATCTAACAAAAACAAAAACTAGCCCTTCATGTACTATAGCCAGTGGTCGGACAAAGTACTACTGCAAAAGATGTATTTGGTGACACCATGAAATAAACTAAAGAGCAAAATATGAAACGATAGACTTTTTTTGTCACTACATGACAAAAGTTTTGTTGTTGATCCCAGTGGTGAGAGTAACAAAAAATAACTTGACTTCTAATTGATCATTTGGAAATATGGCAGAAGGAAAATTTTTCTGATGAATCATCTGTTGAACTGCACCCCAATCATTACAAATACTGCAGAAGATCTATTGGAATCCGCATGGACCCAAGACCTTACAAAAATCAGTCAAGTTTGGTGAAGGAAATGTCGTTGTTTTGGTTACATTCAATATGGGAGTGTGCGAGAAATCTGCAGAGTGGATGGCAACATCAACAGCCTGAGGTATCAAGACATTTGTGCTGCAAGGTCACGTTGCTGCAGGATTGGCCAGCCCAGTCACGGGACATGAACATTATTGAGCATGTTTGGGGTAAAATGAAGGAGGAGACATTGGAAATTAATCCAAAGAATCTTGATGAACTCTGGAAGTCCTGCAGATACGCTTTCTTCGTCATTCCAGATGACTTTATTATAAGTTATTTGAGTCATTGCAAAGATGTATAATTTTTTTAATACATTTTTACAATATAATTTATATTTATTCCACTGCACCAGGACTTCTATACTCTACATTATTTCTGTGAAGTGACAAGACTTTTGTCTCAGCAATGTCAGACCTTCCTGTCCTAATTAAATAATTTGAAATCAAGGCATGATCATATTTTATTTTGGTAAAATAAGCGTAATCTAGAGGCCTTTGCCTTTCATATAAGCCACTTCTGATACCAAATGATCTACTAGAAGTAAAGTTATTACTTGCTTTTCCTAAAACTTGGATAGGCGACAAGACTATTGTCTTTTGGCTGTGCGATATGATTATATATACAGAGGACAAAAAAAAAAAAAAAAAAGTTTTGGTTTTGGCCACCACTAAAAACGGCTGCTCTCTCAAATAGCGCACTATTTGAGGGTATAGGACATAAGTCTCAAACTCGATGTCTGATTCTTTGATTTGAGTTGAATATAAATCACTCTGAAGATATTTTGTCTAAAACAGGTATGACTGTACAGACATCTATGATACGTAATCATAGAGATAACCAGATGACCATTCATTCTTGGCTAGAAATTGCAACAGCAGTGGGAAAGAAGGAAAGTTTTTGTTAAAAGGTTTGGAGAAACCTGAGGTATGAGTTTGTGAAAGCCAAAAGAGGTCGTGGAGACCCATGCACACATTATTTCTTTGATAACTGGACAGGGATATTTAAAACTATGGGTTTTACAATGTACTGAGGGCCTGTTTTTCTAGGCTTTATTGGTGATAATGGTCAGGATTCATTATTGCCTTTTAAGTATAGAACCGAAACTATTCAGACAGTAATGTGTGAATTGTGGAGAGGGC